TCTCTGCTCAGTGGGGAGCCTGCTTCCTCCACTCTCTCTCTGCCTGCCTCTCTGCCTACTTGAGATCTCTGTCTGTCAAATAAATAAATAAAATATTTAAAAAAAAGATTTTATTTACTTATTTGACAGAGAGAGATCACAAGTAGGCAGAGAAGCAGGCAGAGGGAGAGGGGGAAGCAGGCTCCCTGCCAAGCAGCGAGCCCAATGTGGGGCTCGATCCCAGGACCCTGAGATCATGACCTGAGCCAAAGGCAGAGGTCCAACCCACTGAGCCACCCAGGCGCCCCCAACATGAAGATTTTTTTTAAATATTTTATTTTTTTATCAGAGAGAGAGAGAGAGAGCACAAGCAGGGGGAGTGGCAGGCAGAGGGAGAAGGAGGCTCCCCACTGAGCAAGGGGCCCTGATGTGGGGCTCAATCCCAGGACCCTGGGATCATAACTTGAACTGAAGGCAGACACTTAACCGATTGAGCCACCCAGGTGCCCAACAGGGAGATCTGATAACATATACACTGTGGAATGATTACCAAGCTCAAGATAACACATGCATCATTGCACAGTTAACTTTTTTCTTCTTTTGGTGGTGAGAACCCTTAATAGATATCCTCAGCAACTTTCTAGTATGCAATAATGAATTATTAACTATAGTCACCATGCTGCACATTAGATCCTAAGAATGTATTCCTCTTTTAACCGAAAGTCTGTGCCCTTTGACCCACATCTCCCCATTTCCCCCATGCCCTAGCCCTGGATAGGCACCATTCTACTGTGTCTATGAACTTGGCTTTTTAAATTTTTGTTTTTGAGAGTCCACATTTAAATGATCCTGTGTAGTATTTGTCTTTCTGTGTCTGGCTAATTTCACTTAGCACAATGCCCTCCAGTCTCAACCATGTTGCAAATGGGAGGATTTCCTTCTTTTTCATGGCTAAATAATATTTCATTATCTATCTATCTCTGTGTGTGTGTATGTGTATGTATTTTTTTGTATCATTCTTATTTCTTTTTTTCTCCTCTGACTGGAAAATATCAAGAGATCTGTCTTCAAGTTCACAGATTCTTCCTTCCTTGGTGGGCCAACCCCTGGGTGGCTGCCCTCATTCTCTCTCTCTCCCTCTTTCCCATACAGCCCATCATTCCCTAATCTAATCCTTTCTGCCTCTTGCTTCTCTACTTTCTCCACTTTTCTCTGTACAATTGGGTTGGGCTAGCTCAGGATTTGTGCTCTCCCTCCTGGACCCAAACCTCATGCTCCTCTCTGGTCTTAGTCTTGCCCCTCCAGTCCATTCCCCACATGGCCTGAAAGGGTCTTTTGAAACCTAGACTCAGTTTCTATAACTCTAAGTCCAAATCTCACTCAGGACACTGGTCCCTCATCCCTTACCCCTCAGCTCCCCTTCTAAGCCAACTTTAAGTCCTCTATGCTCTACTACTAACATACATTTCAGATCCACCCACTTGTCTCCTAGCCACCATCCTAATCCAGGCTCTCATCATTTTCCACACAAATAACTACCTTTACTTCTGTACTGATTGTAGTGGGTTGAATGGTGATACCCTGCCCCTCCCCTCTCAAAAGTTATGTCCATGCCAAAGCAGTCTTTAAAAAGAAGTATCAAAATCATAGATTTCAAGATACATTACAAAGCTGTAGTAATCAAAACGGTATGGTACTGGCACAAAAATAGACACATGGACCAATGGAACAGAAGAGAGAGCCCATGGGGTGCCTGGGTGGCTCAGTCGGTTAAGCATCCAACTCTAGGTGTTGGCTCAGGACATGATCTCAAGGTTGTGAGACTGAGCCCTGCACTGGGCTATGTACTCAGCAGAGTCTGCTTGGGATTCTTTCCCTCCCCCTCGGCCCCTCCCCTTCCTCATGCTCACTCTCTCTCAAATAAATAAATAAATGGTCCCTGGGTGGCTCAGTTGTTAAGCATTGGCCTTCGGCTCAGGTCATGATACCAGAGTCCTGGAATTGAGCCCTGTATCAAGCTCCCTGCTCAGAGGGAAGCCTGCTTTTCCATCTCCCACTCCCCATGCTTGTGTTCCCTTTCTCATTCTCTCTCTCTCTGTCCAAAAAAAAAAAAAAAAAAAAAAAAAAAAAAAAAA